AGAAATAAAACCAGTTCCAAGTAGTGGGGAAAAACTCAGTTGATTTTGAACAATACCATATAAAACTCCCTAATGAGTGTCTAAGAATGTTCTTGCTTTTGAAGTTTTAAAAGGAATAACAACTTGAATGTTCTGGTACATAACAATGTGTTAGCTTATTACCTACTCTCAAGAACTCCAAGCCCTGTTCATTGAAATCTAGCAAATCTTAGATATTTTTCTTTGAATTTATATCAAGTTGCCCGTTGACTAACAAATACTATTTTTTTAACAATTAATAGCAAGATTTCTATACAAGGATGCCCACTTACATCTATTCAGCTTAGTACTGGAAGTCCTGGCCAGAGCAATCAGACAAGAGAAAGAAAGAAAGAAAGGACACTCAACCAGTAAAGAGGAAGTCAAACCATCACTGTTCACCAATGACATGATTGTATACCTAGAAAACCCTAAAGACCCATCCAATAAGCTCCTAGATCTGATAAAGGAATTCAATAAAGATTTAGGATACAAAATTAACATGCCCAAATCAGTAGCACTGTGATACACCAACAACAAACCAAGAGAATCAAGAACTCAATCCGTTTTACAATAGCTGTGAGAATAAATAAATAAATACATATACATACATACATACATACATACATACATACATAAAATACTTAGGAATATACCCAACCAAGGAGTTGAAAGACCTCTACAAGGAAAACTACAAAACACTGCTGAAAGAAATCACAGATGACACAAACAAATGGAAATACCTTTGCTCATGGATGGGTAGAATCGATATTGTGAAAATGACCATACTGCCGAAAGCAATCTACAGATTCAATGCGATTCCCATCAAAATACCATCATCATTCTAAATAGAACTAGAAAAAAAAAATCCTGAAATTCACATGGAACCAAAAAAGAGCCCACACAGCCAAAGCAATACTAAGCAAAAAGAACAAATCTGGAGGCGTCACATTACCCAACTTCACGCTATACTACAAGGGTATCATTACCAATACAACATGGTACTGGTATAAAAATAGGAATGCAGACCAATGGAACAGAGCGGAGAAACCAGGTGTAAAGCCAAATACTTACAGCTAACTGATCTTTGACAAAGCATACAAAAACATAAAGTGGGGGAAGGACACCCTATTCAACAAAAGGTGCTTGGGATAATTGGCAAGCCACGTGTAGAAGAATGAAACTGGATCCTCAACTCTCACTGTATACAAAGTCAACCCAAGATGCATCAAAGACTTAAATCTAAGACCTGAATCCATAAAAACCCTTCTAGGCATTAGCTTAGGCAAAGACTTCGTGATCAAGAACCCAAAAGCAAATGCAAAAAAAAAAAAGCCCAAATAAATAAATGGAATCTAATTAAACTAAAAAGCTTCTGCACAGGCGAAGAAAAATCAGCAGAGTAAACAGACAACCCGTAGAGTGGGAGAAAATATTCACAAACTATGCATCCATCAAAGGACTAACATCCAGAATCTATAAGGAATTCAAACAAATCAGCAAGTAAAAAACAACCCCGTCAAAAAGTGGGCAAAGGACACGAATAGACAATTCTCAAAAGAAGATATACAAATGGCTGAACATGTGAAAAAATGCTCAACATCACTAAACTATCAGAGAAATGCAAATTAAAACCACAGTAAGACACCGCTTTACTCCTGCAAGAATGGCCCTAAAAAATAAAAAAAATTAGATGTTGGCATGGATGTAGTGGAAAGGGAACACGTTTATACTGCTGGTGGGAATGTAAACTAGTACAACCATTATGGAAAACAGTATGGAGGTTCCTTAAAGAACTAAAAGTAGAACTACCATTGGATGCAGCAATTCCATTACTTGGTATCTACCCAAAGGAAAAGAAGTCATTATACAAAAAAGACACTTGTACATGCATGTTTATAGCAGCACAATTTGCAACTGCAAGACGTGGAACCAACCTAAAATGCCCACCAACCAAGGAGTGGATAAAGAAATGTGGTATACATACACCATGGAATACTACTCAGTCATAGAAAGAAACAAAATAATGGCATTTGTACAACCTGGATGGAGTTGGAGACCATTATTCTAAATGAAGTAACACAGGAGTGGAAAACCAAGCATCTTATGTTCTCATTTATAAGTGGGAGCTAAACTATGAGAATGCAAAAGCATAAGAAGGATGCAATGGACTTTAGGGACTCAGGGAGGGGGGAAGGACTGGAGTGAAGTGAGGGATAAAAGAATACACAATGGGCATAGTGTACACTGCTTGGCTGATGGGTGCACCAAAATCTCAGAAATCACCACTAAATAACTTTTCCAAGTAATCAAAAACCACCTGTTCCTCAAAAACTATGGAAATAAAAAATTTAAAAATAAAATTAAATAAAATGGTTTCCCCTTTCTTGATGCTTGAGAAGGAAGAAATTCAACGAAACAGATTACCTTTCTTTGCTGCAGGAGGTGTGGGGAATAAGGGAAGAGGGCCACCAATGTAGTGTAAATGGCTTTCAAAATTTTACACCAATTCATGAAAAATTTCTCAAGAAAACATGGAATAAAAGGGAATTTCCTAAACATGATATAAAGGTTACATACTAAAATTCTACAGTTAACATTATACTTACCAATGAAAAAATATAATGCCATAAGTATTGGCACACCTAAGTACTTAACTTGGTCCCTGCTTGCCTAATAAGCCTCACCTCATACCACTCTCTCTGAGCCTCTTGATTCCATTCTGCTTACCTTCTAGTTCTGTGTTTATTCCATGTACTGTTTCCTCTGCCTGCAATACTCCCCTTGCTGTCTACCCTTGCACTTAAACTTGTCTAGCTTACTCCTCTTTTTTTCCCTTCAAGGGAAACTAACATGGCACTTCTAGGAAGCCTTCCATGATCCCTCATACCTATTTTATATCTACTCATTATCTTACAGCATAGTTCATCTGTAAGTACTTGAGGTATAATAAAAATACATATATTTGGCCTTTGTCTTAGGTTCCCGGCATACAGCTCCTAAAACAAGTGGAATCTCCTGAGTGATGAGAGTGTCTTTTGCATGAGAATAAGATGACTGGTGACTGGAGACCCCTAGGTAGCTTCAGCATGAGAGCTGGGTGTCAGAAAGACCAAGCCATGGTTAGAGGTTTGGAACTTTCAGCCCCATCTCCCAACCTGTGCAGAGGGGAGAGGGGCTGGAGATTGAGCTCAGTCATAAACGGCCAATAATTTAAACAGGCATGACTACATAATGAAACCTCCAAAAAAACCTGTTAATGGTGGGGTTGAGGAGTTTATGGGTTAGTGTAGACACTGATGTGCTAGGAAGGTGCTAGGCCCAGAAAGGGCATGGAATCTCTACCACTCCTCATCCCCCTCCCCAACCTTGCCCTATGCATCTCTTCCATTTGGCTCTTCCTCAGTCGCATCCTTTATAATAAATTGGTAAATGTAAATAAAGTGTTTCCTGAGTTCTGTGAGTCATCCTAGTGAATTATGGAACCCGAGAGGGGGTCATGGGGACCACTGAATTTGCAGCCAAGTCAGACAAAAGTAGGTAGCCTGAGTACTTTGTGACTGGCATCTAAAGTGAGGACTGTCTTATGGAACTGAACCCTTAAACTATGGAGTCTCTAACTCTAGGTAGTATTAGAATTGAACTGAATTGGAGTCAGAAAAAACTTAAGAGTACTTAGTTAAAAACCCTTTTATAATTTCATTGACTGTAAACTCTGCAAGACAAAACCATGTTTGCCTTGTCTACCATTGTATCTCCAGGCACCAGGCAAGAGCCTATCACACTGTTCAATACAAACTTGGGGAAGGTATAAATGGAAAGGCTACCACTGGAGAGCAGAAGTTCTACATTGTTATCTGGAGAGACGTTAGTCACGAGGTTTTCTCAGGCTTTGCTTCTAATACAATGCTGATGGCTGATGAAACAAAAAGAGAGGCCAGGTGTGGTGGCTCATGCCTGTAATCCCAGAACTTTGGGAGGCCGAGGCAGGTAGATCACGAGGTCAGGAAATCGAGACCATCCTGGCTAACACAGTGAAACCCCGTCTCTACTGAAAATACAAAAAGTTAGCAAGGCGTGGTGGCATGCACCTGTAGTCCCAGCTTCTCAGGAGGCTGAGGCAGAATGGCGTGAACCCAGGAGGTGGAGCTTGCAATGAGCCGAGATCACAGCACTGCACTCCAGCCTGGGCAACAGAGCAAGACTCCATCTCAAAAAAAAAAAAAAAACAAAGAAACAAAAAGAGAAAAGTAACAAGCCCAACTTTTCACTATGTGATGTGAGGGCCAACTATAGGATAGGGTAGCACAGAGGAAGGAACGGGAAGCCGAAAATATGATACTACTTCAAAGAGGAAGTATAGCTGGGTAGAGCACAATGATCAAGTCCCAGTCCCAGTAACTTCTCCACATTGAACCCCTTGTGTTGTCAAGCTCTGTTCTCCTGAAAACTATCAAGTGGTAGAGTTCAAATTCTGCTCCACTACCTGCTTTAAAAAAAAGGCTGTAAAATACATAAAATTATCATCTAGTCCAGCAGTCAGACTCCAAAGGCAGTGAAAGAGCATATGTGCATGCACCTTGTCCATCATCAGCCCTACTTAAAAGTCATAATTCTGCACTCTTATCATGTAGGTATTCATTGGTACTTGCAAGTATTCAGTCGTACTTGCTGGGCTGTTACTCTGTCAAAGGGTCTTAAAAACAGGCTCATGTGTGTACACCTCATCTGTCCAACTAGATCTTCAGCCTTTTAAAGGCAGAAAATGTCATCTGTTGCTCTCAAATTCATGTTTTTTCTGTACTGAGTAGAGAGGAGAGGCTCTTCAAACACTAAATAGGACTGAAAAGAATATTTCATGTACCCAATACCCACCAGGTAAATTTGTTGAGACCTATGGGAACCAAAGAAAATGAAAACCAGGTCCAAATGACATTGGTAAGAAAAGACCATCTCCATTTTGCCACGAAAACAAGTCTTACCTGTGATGGGGTTACCCTTCCCTTTTTAATTTCAGATGAATTTTCACTGAGTTTTCCTACTTTGTTACTTGAGCTGCATTTGTAGCATGTCCATCTTGTTTGGCCCTCAATTTCCATGGTGCATTCTTTGTTTTGAAGGCAGAATGAGTGATACAAATGGCCACAGCTGCAAAATGTAGGCAACGAATGTGTCCTTTTTATTATCACAAAATGCATAAACATAAGCTTGTAAGTGTACTGAGAAGCGATAAAGATATCTAACAAGTAGAAAGGCACTGATGGCTGTACAGGGTAAGAAACAAGAAAGGGAATGTACTCGCTGCTGTCCTCTCTTTTAAAAATCCACATTCATATATTTGTATACTTATGTTGTGAGTACAAACAAATCACCGTTCTCTGACTACAAACTACTCAAAGGATGAGTTGAACTTCTGTTCATTTACCAAACTATGAAATCGGATGGCATTTTCAGATAGTCTGAGAAAAATGCAACAGGGGGCTGGGCATGGTGGCTCACGCCTGTAATCCCAGCACTTTGGGAGGCTGAGGCGGGCAGATCGGCTGAGGTTAGGAGTTTGTGATCAGCCTGGACAACATGATGAAACCCCATCTCTACTAAAAATACAAAAAATTAGCCGGGTGTGGTGGCAGGTACCTATAATCCCAGCTAGTTGGGAGGCTGAGGCAGAAGAATCGCTTGAACCCAGGAGGCAGACGTTGCAGTGAGCCAAGATCGTGCCACTGCACTCCAGCCTGGGTGACAAGAGCAAAACTCTGTCTCAAAAAAACAAAAAACAAAACAAAACAAAAAAAACAAAAAATTAGCCAGGTGTGGTGGCACACACCTGTAGTCCCAGCTACCTCAGGAGGCTGAGGCACGAGAATCGGTTGAACCCAGGAGGCAGAGGTTACAGTGAGCTGAGATTGCGTCACTGCGCTCCAGGCTGGCAGACAGAATGAGATTCCATCTCAAAAAGAAAAAAAAAATTTTAAAAAGGCAACTGGAAAAAATCGTAACTATTTAAGTAGCTTGATAACAACATGAATGGTCTCATCACCAAATTCAAGGCAAGGGTTGTGATTTGATTAAACATTTACAAAAATGTCACTGCTGTAGTAAATCCTTACACTATTCATATAAAGAAATTCCCTATTGATTACATTAAATGACCAAATCAGCCTCCCAGAAGTTGAGTACTGAGAATAATTCTCAGCCATCTACACTGATTTGTCTTCATTTCTCTAACCTAAAGTGTTGGACATTTCAGAAATCAATCCTTTTCTTTTCTATAGTCTTTATATTCTTTTTCTTTTTTCTTCCTATCTCTCTCTCTCTGTGTCTCTCTCTCTCTCTCTCTGTGTGTATGTGTGTGTGTGTGTGTATATATATATATATATATAAACTGATCCGTCTGCTTTCCCCCTTGATCTGTCTAGTCCTTTAACACAACAGTCAGAGTAATCCTTAAGACATAGGTCAGATCATGTCACCGCCCCAGTCCTCAAAATCATCCAATGGCTTCGCATCTCAGAGTAAAAGTCTCACTTTCATTATAAAAATGAGTTAGACTTGGGCCAGCTCCTACATGATTTGGCCTCTGCTCCTCTGAAGTCTCTTTCACTGTCCCCTTCCTTGGCTGCTCAGGTGCCGCTAGCCTCCTCACTCACTACTCCTCAAGAATGCCAAGGCTCTCCTGCCTCATGGTCTCTGCACTCAGCTCCTCTGCCTGGTGTACTCTCTTCTGAGGCTGCATGGCCACTTCCTTTAGATCCCCTCAAATGTCATTTAAACAAGAAGGCTTTCCGGGCTACTCTATAAATTAGTAGCTCCCAACATTCCTTTTTCTCTATAGCATAGCTCGTTTTTATTCATGTAACTATTAATTCTTTTTCTATTAATTAATTTTTAAGTTGTCTGTTCATAAGTCACCTTAACGGTAAGCCTTTCCCCGACCAACCTATATAAAATATCTGCACCCCCCACCAAACATTCTGTATCTCCTTTAACATTTTTTCCCCCGTGGTAGTTATCAGTATCTGGCATTACACTTGTTGGCTTATGGTCTATCCCTGACACTACAATGTAAACTCCATGAGGGTAGATCCTTTGTTTCATTCATCCTGTATCCTATCCCCTTGAATAGCAGCTCACATATAGCAGGTGCTCAATAAATATTTCTCGCCTGAATGGGCTCTTCGTGTGAAGAGAACTACTTCCTCTTCCAACCATCAAGTCTACCAATCTTCATGCAGAGCTAACACTCAGATAGTGCTTACTCATGCCAGGCACTGTTACAAGTGCCTTATATAAATCATTTCATTCAATCCTCACAAAACCCTAGGAGGTAGGTACTATTATCCTATTTACAGATGAGGAAACTAAAATATAAAGAAGTTAAATAACTTGCCCAAGGTCTCACAGCTGGCATGTAGCGGAGTCAACGTCTGAACTCAGGAAGTTTGGCTCCATGGCCATATTGTGTTACCTCTATCCCTACATTCTAGATGAGCTGTCTTTGCTCCTGAGACCAACACCTTCATTCTGCACTAGGGTTCTTCTCTCTTTGCAATGTAGCTTAAATATCATATGCTGACAACTTATAAATTAAAATTTTCCAGTCTCAACACATCTCCAGATTTCTGACTTGAAGAACTGTCTAGCTGGCATCCCTACTTGATGTCTAACAGTACATATCAAACCTAACATGTGCAAGACGAAACCCCTGAATTCCCCACTTCCTTGTATCTTCTTCATCTTAGACAATGGTACATGTTTACCCAATTGCTCAGACCAAAGACTCATTTTTCTCTCATATTCCACATCTAATACACCAGCAAATTATCCCTACCTTTAAAGGATACTCAGAATCCAAACACCTCTCAGCACCCTTGCTCCTCCCTCTCTTGTTCTGCTCAAAGGTCACGTCCTCAGATATGCCATCCCTCATTCAATAGCACTTGTCCTGAACACGTCATCCTTCTATCCATTTGTCCTGCGTTCTGTTTTTCTCCAAAGCTCTTATTCCTCTGTATTTATGTCTCGCCTGGGCACCCCAACCTCCACCTCAATGCAGAATGTAAGGTCTGTGAGGGCAGGAACTTGCCTATCATGTTCATTGCTAGAATGACTGCCTGTCTGTGTATCCATGTGTATTCTTGCCTGGTAATGCCACAGATGTACGTGTACCATACATGTAACATTTATTTCCCTTTCTTACCTAAAGACAATAATTTCATCAGCCATTTCTTGGCGTCTCTTGTACTGCTGCAAACATATAGAGCAGTAATCTTGTTTGGGATTCAGTCCTCTGGTGACTGAAGCTCTCAGGTTACACAATGACCAATGGAGATCTTGGTTTAGAAGGCTAGTTGTTGTTTCCAGCAGGGTCTATGAAACAACAAAACAAAAAACAAACAAACAAAAGGTTATAAAATGAAAGAGATAGAGGAGATGGATGGTGAATAGCACTTGTTTAGTTTTCAACTACCAACAACTAAAATTGGAACACATTATAAAGGGATAAAATTGTTGAAACAAAAAAAAATCAAAACCTCACAAATTCAAGCGGTTAACCTCAATGTGCAGAGTAATGGTGAGTGTATACATTATGAGACTCTCAAGTCTGTCATTAGTTTCTACTGAGAAATGTCAGCTCTGCCATTCTGCAGTTTAATTCAGTATTGATGGCTTTCAAATGACTAGATAAGCCCAAATCTATTTATTACATTTATATAATAACTGCTCTCTGAATGGCTCAGAGTGTTGTAATAAAGAATACAGCTAATTCTGAATCCCAGATTTTTTATTGAAACTGCATTCATGGTAATGTTTCAAATATCTTTTCACTAGTAAAGCTAATGGCCACTACTCCATTTTCATCTTCCTTGGGCAGAGAGATAACATTTTCCTGATCAGCACTTAGAAGTCATTTGCATCTACTCAAGACCATGACATCTATCATTAAGTCACATAAAGACATTTTAACAGCTATCACATTAAGTCATTTTAAGGCTCTATGTATTTATAAAGTATTGTTTTTGTACCGTATCTCATTCTTAACATCGGTATATATCATCTGGCTATGTAGTTGGGTTCTTTTCTCTCAGTCCTGAAGGGGAAGATAGAGCTAGGTACTGCCTGCCCTCCTTGCTATACAGCTTAGCTCTTTAACTTCACCTGTAACGCAAAACTTTTCGTTCTAATAGTCTCATTTTTTCCAATCAGTATCACATTTTTCTCCTCTTTCATAGTTCCAAAATTGGTAAACATTTTCTGCCTTGCACTCAACTTTACTTCTGCTAACGTGGAATCTGTGCCTGTAGGAGTATCAAGCTTCACTGGGCTACACATAGCCAAACTGCAATTCTTACAACATTCTAAGAAAAGCTGTCACCCAGATTTTCCTTTTTCTTCTCACAGATTCTTAAAAAAAAAAGCAGACGTTGTCTCCAACAGACCTAAATGGTACTTTTCCTAGGTGGCTTCAGGAGTCACTTTGCAGTACACTAAGAAAAAAGCCCGTACACCAGGCTGGCACTTACTGAGACTTAAAGCTAAAGACAATTTTGAGTTAAGGGAAGACTAATGATCATTTATGGTGATATGGTTTGGCTGTGTCCCCACCCAAATCTCATCTTGAATTCCCACGTGTGGTGGGAGGTAACTGAATCACGGGGGCAGGTCTTTCCTGTATTGTTCTCATGATAGCAAGTAAGTTTCACGAGAGCAGACAGTATTATAAGGGGGAGTTTCCCTGCACAAGCTCTCTTATCTGCCGCCACGTGAGACATGCCTTTCACCTTCTGCCATGATTGTGAGGCCTCCCCAGCCACATGGAACTGTAAGTCCAATACACCTCTTTCTTTTGTAAACTGCCCAGCCTTGGGTATGTCTTTATCAGCAGCATAAAAACGGACTAATACAATGGTTAGTGACAACTATCTGTTTCAGAATGTTTAAAATAATACTCATTTAATTTTATTTTGCAATTTTCTATATTCATGTTGACCCTTCCTTTTCATGTGGTATAGCTTTGTACTAAATTATTTTTCCAGAAAGTTTCTCATACCTTCATTTTGAAAAAAAAGATACTTGTTTCATTGTGAATGAATTAAAATAAACTAAATTTGAATTAGATGCATTTCTACATTCTGAAATGTGTGTGTGTGTACACAAATCAAGGTCAAGATAGCTTTTTTTTTTTTTTTTAAGAGACAGGGTCTTGCTCTGTCACCTGGCGCAATCATAGCTCACTGCAGCCTCCAACTCCTGGGCTCAATTGATCGTCCTGAGTAGTTACAATTATAGGCACATGCCACCATGCCCAGCTAATTATTTTTATTTTTTGTAGAGACAGTGTCTTGCTATGTTGCCTGGGCTGGACTCGAACTCCTGGCCTCAGGCAATCCTCCTGTCTCAGTCTTCCAAAGTGCTGGCATTACAGGTATGAGCTACCATGCCTGGTGAGAGAAATTAAAAAACTGAAATAAATATACACACATACACCTCAGTCTACCTAACTGCCAGTAAATAGATGGTAACTTTTTTTTTAAGTATAGGTACAAAAGAAAAGAAAATAGCATTTTTCTACCTTAGGACAGACTTAGATGTAACAAGTAGCTTACTTACTTGTTCATAGTTAAAGGTATCTAACATTCCCAGAATAAGTCCCTGGATTTCTCCAAGTTTTCCTTTTCCATAAACTGGATCCTAATTAGAAAAAAATATAATTCTGTTATAATTCTGTATTTTAAAATTACTTTAAAATGTTAAGTTATCTGAAAAAGCCAAATGCTTTTAAGTATTTTTCTACAGTCACAAAATATTTATTCTTCCACGAATGTTCCACTGGAAATGTACCATAGTCTTCCTCTGATCATCTCAAATATTTTTGAAAAACAAAATTTAAATTATCCAAGCCCCTTTCTTAACAATCCTTGCAAGTCTAATTAAACTTTACTTTTATTTTGTTTCTGCAAGAAGCTTCCTCTCCTTCATATAAAACAGCAACTCTCCCTCTTTGCACTCTTATTTGTCTGTTACATTAAAACCAGTGTACTCAGGAATACCCAGAATCTGTCCAACAACTCCTCCTGTGATCCCATTTAGCCACCTCCTGCCCCTAACCAACTAAATCGCACCAGTTTTGGAGACAAACAGGTTCTGAGAAAACAGCTCTCAGTTTTTTGAAGTTTTTTTCAGTAAAGTCACTACTGATAAACAACAGATACCTAGATATCCAATGTTCCCTCCACTGCATTTCATATGAGGTATGCCAAGTAACTTGTTTATTATGTACATTTTGGAAACACTGAAGTGTACAAAAAAAACACACACACACACACACACACACAAAACAAAAAACAAAAAAATGAAAAGCAAAAAAACAAAAAACCAAAAACCACACCAAAAACTGAAATCCAACCAGAGATAAACACTGTTGATATTCTGATGTATATTTCTCTAGTCTTGTTTCTGGGAGAGGTGAGAAAAGGAAGGGAAAAAGGGATATATTTTTTAGTGTATAAAATTGGAGTATTTTACAAAATATTTTTATATCTTTTTTTTAACTCAATGGTGTATTGTGAGCACTTTTCCATACCATCAAATATTTCTTTTTTTTTCTCTACTCTTGTGACACATTACAAATATTTCTTAATAGGTACAGAATATAAATTATGTGAAAATATCATGTTTTATTCATTTTCTGCTTTGAACATTTCACTTTTCCCCTTTCCCAAACTCCAGCCACTATTATCAAATGCTAGTGGTTGCAAATCTCAACTGGAATCTCTGATTCTTTAGAGATTTCTAGACAGAAAACTATAGACTCAAAGGGCATTTTCATGGCTATCAATACATATTGCCAAATTGCTCTACCAAAGTTTATTTTAGGATTTTTATCCCCATCAGCATATGTATGTGCTCACTTCACTGACCTTTGGCTAGACTAATAATTTTAAAACTGTGAACACATGAGTCAAGTCTATTACTTTTCTCTAATATCAAGTTATATATGACATAAATGACTCTTTTCCATGCCAAATAGGAGAATCCAGCTACACAGTTATGATAAAAGTAGTTGCTATTTTAAGTGAGTAGCATATGCCAAGTACAGTACTAAGCACTTTATGTTTACCACATTACTAAATTCCTTCAACAGGTTTTGTGAGTAAAGAAACTGAGGCTTAAAGAGGTTACAAAAACTTCTCTAAGTCACAAAACTATCAAGCAGATAAGATGGGATTTGAATCTAGGTACCTCAGAAATCATGCTTTTAATAACCACACTATACTGGTCTCCCAGGTATGGATACAAAAACTAATAAACTAAATAATAAACTACTTCTTGCTTGAATATATGGGTTTCTAACATAGGTAACTAAATAATAAATTAATGATTGCTGGAAAACATGAGAAACATGTCTGGCTATTTCTTAGGGAGTCTTGGTACTGTTAAGAGTTAACTGTGAGTTCAGAAGGCAAAAAGGCCTATGGAAGCAGGAAAAACCTGTACAAGAATTGTCTCAGGATTTGCTTATTTTTCTCTTCTGGGTTCTAGTGATGGCTCTTGCAGAATAGGTCGTGCAGTTCCTAACTAAGATTGGTTTTCAGTGCTTTGAGTCTGTCTAGAGCAGCATGAGATTGTCTGCCAGAGGTTTCTTTGGCCTCTTCAACTGCTAGGGTTATGCTGAAGAAATCCAAGGCACAAAATAACTATATGTAGTAATTATCAAATTAACAAGTTTGGGCTTGAACACATCACTTAAGCTTAATAGAAAAAATTTCTATTTCACAGCTAGGGATCATATCACTAAGCTAATGATATCTGCCAAATATGTGGAAATCATTTACAAAAGGCAAGATACAGATATTTCAGACTAGTCCTTCAGAGAAAAACAACTCAAAGCCATATACCCACTGGACAATTTTTTCTTTTTATTTTCTTTGCATAAAAATAGACCCTTGTTAATGCTTAATTATACATTTGGTCAAGTTCTTAATAAGTACACATTTGCCAAATATCAACAGATGGTACAATATCTTATTAGAAAACTCTATTAAAATATTTACTATAATATGTGGATCCAGTATGACAATAGAGCTCTGGCATGTGTTTACAACAAAGGTGGTTTAAAGAACAAAGAGGTCTTAAAAGGTTAAATTCTGGGAAAAAGAAATCTTTATAGGTCATTTCTATATTTATGTCAGTACATTTCACTGTAATATACATAATTTAAAAGCAAAATCATGAAAACAATCTCATGCTGGGACAACATATAAATTATAGAATGCAAAAGGGAGCTCAAAGCTTCTAGCACAGCATGCACCAAACCACTAGCTCTTCAAATTATTTTCCAAAGATGTCAGCTAGATTCTTCAGCAATGAATAAATGCTGAGGTTTCTCTTAAGTTGTTTGCAAACTATGAAGGAAGAGCATACTTGGTTACCCATGTAAATGTGTTTTTCAAGACATACACTAGAAAAGATGTGATGACCACTTTTTTTTCCTATTGCTTTCTGGTACCTACTGTATCATGTATGTGTATGTTTAAAATAAAAATCTTTATTAATTGAGCACTGCTTTAAAATATCAATGATGCCCTAAACAGGAGAGTCTATAATTTGTTTGCCTTTCCTCAGTGAGAAAGTAATAAACAGCTTCTCAGAAGCTAAAAATTACTTCTGCCATAGAGTGAAGATAGAATGTATACAACATAAACACGGTCTTTAAAATGTTCTCTTATCACCTAATATTCATAAAAAAAGACGGTGTAATTTGGGTCCCAGGCATCAGTCTGAATAAACACGTGAAGATCAAGATCTGTAAGAACCTGTTATCATGTGACCACTTCTTTTGGAAAAACTAATTTTTTCAGTTGTATCTGAGCAATTGTGCATCTAAGTAACTGCTGTTCCCTACATTTTTCAGTGGGGATCTGATAAAGTGAGGTGGGCATGAGAAACGCCTTGATTAGTGTTAGATACAGAAGAAAAGCCCTAAAACTTGAAGTTAGTAGACCTGGATTAATTCTAATGGCTCCCATTTCAAAACTGAATAAACAAAGACAAGTTATTTGATCTTTCTGAGTGGCACTTTTCTCATGAGAGATATGAGGTATTGCTACATCCCCAGCTTAATTTGCACAGTTAGAGATCAAAGAAGATAATGAACACTAAAGTGATTTGTAAACTGTTGAGAACTATACAAGGACATTAGGTGAGGGAGTCAACTAATATTTAATGGGCATATACTATGTTTTAGGCACGGCACTGGGTGTTGTAGATAACATAGTGAACAAGGGAGACATGATCTCTGCTTTTATAAAACTCACAGCCTAGCGGGTAAGCTAATATGAAGGTAGGGCTCAAAAAGAGTTTATATTTACAGGTGTGACTGGGGCTGCGGTAAGGGTGAAAAGGCAAGGAAGAAAAAACTTAGCTCCTAAAATATTCTAGGAGATAGAGTAGAGAGGATTTGACGTGGATTAAATACCGGGACTGCTGAGGAAAATAATGAGGAATTCTAACACACAGTTAAGGAAGAAATTATACAAACTGTCTACAATCTATTCCAGAAAACAGAAGCAGGTGGAACATTTCTTTTCTTTTCTTTTTTTTTTTTTTTTGTAGACAGAGTCTCGTTCTGTCGCCCAGGCTGGAGTGCAGTGGCACAGTCTCGGCTCACTGCAAGCTCTGCCTCCTGGGTTCATGCCATTCTCCTGCCTCAGCCTCTTGAGTAGCTGGGACTACAGGCGTCTGCCACCAGGCCCGGCTTATTTTTTTTGTATTTTTAGTAGAGATGGGTTTTCGCCGTGTTAGTCAGGATGGTCTGGATCTCCTGACCTCATGATCCGCACGCCTCGGCCTCCCAAAGTGCTGGGATTACAGGCGTGAGCCACCACGCCCGGCTAAGGGAACATTTCTTAACTCATTCTCTGAGGCCAGCATCACCCTCATACCAAAACCAGCCACAGACATTACAAGAGAGGAAACTATATGAACAGAGATGCAAAAATTCTCAACAAAATATTAGCAAATTGAATCCAGTAATGTATAAAAAGAATTATACATAACAACCAAGTGGGATTTATCCCAGGTATGCAAGGCTGGTTCAACATTTAAAAATCAATTAATCGGCTGGGTGCAGTGGTTCATGCCTGTAATCCCAGTACTTACGGAGGCAGAGGCGGGAGGATGGCTTGAGCCCAGGGTGAGACCCGCTTGGGCAACACAGCGACACCCCATTCTCCACAGAAAAAGAAAAAAAAAAAGACAAGAAAAATAAATTACTGTAATCCATCACATCAACAGGCTAAATAAGAAAAATCACATGATCATATTAGTAGATGCAGAATTTGTAATTGATAAAATCTAACGCCCACTCATGACAGACAAACTGTGAGCAAACAAGAAAGGGAGGGACACTTCCTAAACTTGATAAACAACATTTATAAGAACCTTACAGCTAACATCATACTTAATGGTGAGAAACCAGATGTCTTTCTTCTAAGACAGAAAATAAGGAAAAGATATCCCCTCTCACCACTCCTATTCAACATTGTACTGGAAGTTCTAGTTACAGCAATAAGACAAGAAAAGGAAATAAAAGATATACAGATTGGGAAGGAAGAAATAAAACTGTCTTTGTTTGCAGATGACATGATTGTCTAAAAAAACCTGAAACAATTAAGTGATTGTAGCAAAGT